AAAACCACTCAACTACATGGAAACTGAACAACCTGCTCCTGAATGACTACTGGGTACATAACGAAATGAAGGCAGAAATAAAGATGTTCTTTGAAACCAAGGAGAACAAAGACACAACATACCAGAATCTCTGGAACACATTTAAAGCAGTGTGTAGAGGGAAGTTTATAGTACTAAATGCCCACAAGAGAAAGCAGGAAAGATCTAAAATTGACACCCTAACATCACAGTTAAAAGAACTAGAGAAGCAAGAGCAAACTCATTCAAAAGCTAGCAGAAGGCAAGAAATAACTAAGATCAGGGCAGAACTGAAGGAGATAGAGACACAAAAAACCCTTCAAATAATCAATGAATCCAGGAGCTGGTTTTTTGAAAAGATCAAGTTCTCTAATTTTTTTGTGTGATATCTAATCTGATGTTAATCACATCCAGTAAAATTTTCACTTTAAATATTATAGTTCTCACCTCCAGAAGTTCTATTTGGTTCTTTTTATATCTTCTATTTCTCTCACTGTATTCCTGTTTTTCTTTTAATGCTTGTACATCATTAAACTGGCTGTTATCCTTGTCTGTGAGTCGTCACTGGTCATTTCTGTGTGTTTCTATAAACTGATTATTCTCCCTGCCCTGGCCACATTTCTGTGCTTTTTGGCATTTCAGTAACTTCTGATTGGATGTTGGGTATTATAAAGATTATATTGTTGAGTGTCTGGATTTGGGGTGGTAGTTATTTGTGGATCAGTTTGATCCCTTTGAGGCCTATTTTTAAGCTTTCTTTGAGACAGGTCTTGTGTAGCTTTGGCTCTAGGAATACATCAGCCCTACTACTAAGGCCTCTGGATTCTCTACTGTGTGTCCCAGGTAATCACAGAGGACTCTATACTGGTTGGTCAGACCTTGAATGTCTCTCTACCTTTGTGTGTCCTGAGAATTGTTCAGCTTACAGCTTCCTGGTCACCCTTTTCCTGGGCTTTCGGAGTTTCGCTCTATGCATGCATGGCCTAGTAGTCAGGAAAGACTCAAAGGGAAGCTTATACATATTTTTTGAAGCTCTTTTTACTGCATAACTAACTCCTTTCTGGAACTCTGCTCTGCAACTTCCAGCTGCCTCAGCTGCTCTGAATGCTGGTCTGTGTCTCCTCAACTTGGCAAAGCCACTAAGCTCTCTTTGGTTTTCGCCCACCCCAACACAGTCTCAATCTGGAAATTGCCTCCAGGCAGACAGCTGAGGCAATGATAGGGCTCCCCTTATCTGTTTCTCTTCTCTTGGGGATCGTGATTCTGTACTTCCTGCTGTCCAGTGTCTGAAAACTTGTTTCACATATATTTTCTCCATTTTTTTCTACTTATTTATGGCAGGATGTGAAATCTGTTCCTTGTTACTCCATCGCAGCCAAACGTGGAAGTTTCTGTCCATTCTTTTTAATTAACATCTTTAATTTTATATAAGAGTCTTTCTGGAGTAGCTAGATTTTGTGGGTCTCGAGCCAGTGTAAAAAGCCTTCCTTTTTACTGAATTATGAATTAAATTGAACTGTCATCACAACAGGAACTGTGTAGCTGTTTCTTTGAACTCACTGATGTGAGAGGCCTGTGATGCATGGATATCGGTGGTAGGATCTTTCACATAATTTGCAATTTGGAAGGAGAAGAAAATTTGTAGAAATCATTCAGCTCTTTTGTTTAACAATTTAGTGTTTGAAGATCTTTTCTTTGAGGCTTATTTTTCCAGCTGTTTTGTTCCACTTCTCATTTGGTTGAATGCATTAGAGAACTGCTGTCATGTGTACCTGTCTCGCTGTCACCAGGCTCCTTGTGTCAGTGGGCTATGGCTTTTAAGGGCCTCACTGCTGGTCTAGAAGCCCCCATTCCTGCTGTCTTCCCTCCGGCATCCTGATCCAGTTTTTTTGTTGCCTCTATAAAGTTGGAAAGGGTCTCTCATTTCCTGGTTATTTCTTCTGATGATCTTGGTGTGCCTCCTTCCTGTGCAGCGTCAGCATGGACTTCTAGGCTTGCCAGTCTTCCTGCCCTTGGATCTCTGTCTAGGTCTGTCTTCACCTGGCTGTGCTTGGGCTGGCATCTGCTGGTCTTGTCTTGGCTCCCTCTGGCCTGCCTCTGTTCATTCTTTGCCAGGCCCTGTTCAAGGTGTGTTTTCTCACACATCTCCATGCCCTGGCTTGTCATTCAGCCAACATGTGAGAGAAGACTCAACAAGATCAGAAACCAAGGAAGAGGAAATCACCAGTCTCTTCACAGGGGATCCAGGGACAGGGCTGTCATCACTCATGGCCTTTTTCACTTTCTTTAGTTCCACCTAATCCCCAAGGTCTTACTCTCCCCAGGATGGAGCACCAGGAAACCAGGTCCTGGCAGTCCCTCTTGAGATGCCGGAGGCTGAGGTGAGCTGTGCTTCCCTCTGCCTTGCTTGGGATTCTCTCACCGCTCCCTGAATCTGGCCTCAGCCTCTGTCTCTTGCCCCAGCATGACACACGGCAGAGTATGAACCCCAGCTGCTGCCTTCCTGCCCTCCCACTGCTTCTCTTCTAGAGGCTGCCAAGGATTGGATATCCACTGGGCTTGAAGTCCCAATCATCCAGGTGGGGAAGCTGAGTTTCCATCCAGGAAAGTGATTGAACGGAGGTCCCTTGGAAAGATGAGACGCCAGGGCCATGGCCCAGGGATCCTAGTGCTTGATCAGGTTCTCTTTTCAGGACTTCTTGGAGCTGTGGTTAGGCCTCCATGTTAACAACAGACACCCACTCCAGACCCTCGCCTCTTGTCCCTGGCATTACTGGCGCTGCCCCTGCCTCATTCTAAAATAGATGGAAAGACTGATTAGCCCTGGGAATTCTTTCAGGATTTGGTGACATTTGACGATGTGGCATGGTACCTCACCACAGGGGAGTGGTTTAAGCTGGACCCTGAACAGAGGGTGCTGGCATATTATGGGAACGTGACCTATGTGGGTAAGGATGTCCCAGCCCTTCCTCAAATTCACCACCTGCTTGGAGTGGGGCAGGGGGCACATGGCTACCCCCACAGAAGCTCACCTTCTCCCTGGATTGTGGGGAAACACAATGGGTCTGCCACATCTGATATGTCAGAGTAGTATGAGTTCCCCCAACTCCTCTTGGCATGGAAAGAACCCCTCTCAGTCTTTTATTGGGAAAGAAATTAGAACACTGCCACTGTAATGTAGAATACTCTTCTCATTTTAATGCACAAATTATGCAGATTGCATGACCATTTGGTTTGAGTTTATTTGTGAGAGAATGGTTGACGTGATCAAGATCTTGTTCACCCATTAGGGGTCTGCATGTGTGCAGTGGGGAGGAGGTTTTAGGAGGAGAGACTGTTGGGAGTCAGATTTGGGAGTTGTGGAAGTCCACATGTCTGGGAAGAGCATGAAGTTAAATGTGTGAGCACTGAGGGGGTGGACAGGCAGAAGGCAGGGTGAGGATCACCTCCTCAGGGTGGCCACTTGATCCTCCACAGAGCCTCCCCCAGGTGGGCCCAGAGCCTGCCTTCCTCAAGCTCCTGGAAGGAGCCTGACCTTGGGAAACACCTTTGAACTGAATGAATGACTTGCCTAAGGTTAAGGCCAGCCTGGTCTTTGAAGATGGAAGGGGGTTCCCCTTCAAAGGCCTTGCCTATGTTCCTCCACTATTCTCATGTCATCTTTGGCTGTCGCCGTAACCAATCTCCTTTCCCATGAGCAGGCGTTCCTGTTTTGAATCCTGCCTTGGTCCCTCACCTGGCACAAGGACAAGTGCTGTTGGTATCAGACCCATCGCCCAACACTGATCCAGCTAAGTACTCTGGTGAGTGAAAAAGAAATGTGAGGAAACTGGGGGAGGCCCAACCGAGCTGGGGTTTGGGTTAGGGTTGGAGGGCCCAGCCGAGCTGTTAGGCTTCAGGTTAGGGTTGGGGGTCCCAGCTGAGCTCTTGGGCTTGAGGTTAGGGTTTGGGGACCCTGCTGAGCTCTTGGGCTTGAGGTTAGGGTTGAAACAGATGAGCTCTCAGGGGTTTGGGTTAGGGTTGGGGAGCCCAGATGAGCTCCTGGGGTTGAAGTTAGGGTTGAGAAGATCAGCTGTCCTCTTGGAGGTTTTGAATTAGAGTTGAGGAGTTCCAACTGAGCTCTTGGGGTTTGGGTTAGGGTTGAGGGGCCCAGCTGAGCTCTTGGAGTTGAGGTTAGGGTTAGGGGATCCAGCTGAACTTTTGAGGTTGAGGTTAGGAGTAGAGGGGCCCATTTGAGCTCCTGGGGTTGAGGTTAGGGTTGAGAGGATCAGCTTGGCTCTCTGGGCATTCGGGTTAAAGTTAGGATCCCAGCTGAGCTCTTGGGGTTGAGGTTAAGTTTGGGAACCCTGCTGAGTTCTTGGGGTTAAAGTTAGGGTTGGGGGGCCCACCTGAGCTCTTGACAGTGAGGTTAGGGTTGAGAGGATCAGCAGGGCCCTTTGGAGATTCAGGTTATATTTGGGGATCCCAGCTGAGCTCTTGGAGTTGAAGTTAGGGTTGGGGGTCCCAGCCGAGCTTTTGGGGTTCTAGTTAGGGTTTGGGGCCCCAGCTGAGCTCTTGACGGTGAGGTTAGGTTGAGGATCAGCAGGGCTCTTTCGAGATTCAGGTTATGTTTGGGGATCCCAGCTGAACTCCTGGGGTTGAGGTTAGGGTTGGGGGCCCAGCTGAGCTCTTGGGGTATAGGTTAGGTTTGAGAGGATTAACTGGGCTCTTGGGGTGCTTGGGTTAGGGTTAGGGGGCCCAGCTGAGCCTCTGGGGACGTGTGTGGCTGCTCTCCAGTCACAGAAGGGGTGACCTCCTCAGCACCACTGTGGTAGAGAGTGTCCAGAATGGAATGAGGCCCCTCTGCCCCTGGCTTCTGCAGTCCTTGCTTCTGGTGGCTTCCGGGCCCAGGCCCCGTGCTCAGTGGCTGTCTCAGAAAGAAGAAGATTCTTGACAAAGGAGAGGCCCTTTCCTCCGTCCTCCTCTGCAGACTACACTGCCTTGTGTTTATCGTTTCAGAAAGCACCTCTGCGACCCGACACCAGACGATGGGGGAAGACGCCCAGCCACAGGAGATGGCGTCCACAAGCTCCCCAAGGGCCAGTGGCCCCAGTCCTGAATTCAGACAGCATGGGGACTCTGACAGGAAGAGAGGGAGCCCACAGAATCTGCCCATAGAACATCATTTTGCTTGTAAAGAGTGTGGGGACACCTTTCGGCTTAAAGTCCTGCTTGTCCAGCACCAGAGAGTCCACAGTGAGGAGAAGGGCTGGGAATGTGGCGATTGCGGGAAGGTCTTCAGGGGGGTGGCGGAGTTTAATGAGCACAGGAAAAGCCATGTAGCTGCGGAACCCCAGCCCGGCCCCAGTAGGGCCCTGGAGAATGCCGCGGAGAAGAGGGAGCAGACGGAGAGGGAGGGAAAGCCCTTCGAGTGCGAGGAGTGTGGAAAACGGTTTAAGAAGAATGCAGGCCTCAGTCAACATCTGAGGGTCCACAGCAGAGAGAAGCCCTTTGATTGCGAGGAGTGCGGGCGGTCCTTCAAAGTCAACACCCACCTCTTCCGACATCAGAAACTTCACACTTCAGAAAAGCCTTTCGCCTGCAAGGCATGTAGCAGGGATTTCCTGGATCGCCAGGAGCTTCTCAAGCACCAGCGCATGCACACTGGCCACCTGCCCTTCGACTGCGACGACTGCGGCAAGTCCTTCCGAGGGGTCAACGGGCTGGCTGAGCACCAGCGCATCCACAGTGGGGCCAAGCCATACGGGTGTCCCCACTGCGGCAAGCTCTTCCGAAGGAGCTCGGAGCTCACCAAGCACCGGCGGATCCACACGGGTGAGAAGCCCTACGCCTGCGGCCAGTGCGGCAAGGCCTTCCGCCAGAGCTCCAGCCTCCTGGAGCACGCACGCATCCACAGTGGCGAGCGGCCCTACGCGTGTGGCGAGTGCGGCAAGGCCTTCCGCGGTCCCTCCGACCTCATCAAGCACCGGCGCATCCACAGCGGACTGAAACCCTATGAGTGCGACAAGTGCGGCAAGGCCTTCCGCCGGAGCTCCGGCCTCAGTCGCCACCGGCGGATCCACAGCGGGGCGCGGCGCTGTGAATGCAGCCAGTGTGGCCGTGTCTTCAAGAGCCGCTCGGCGCTACAGAAGCATCAGCCGACCCACCACGAGTAGAAATGCCCTGCGGTCCCGCGGGACAGGGACGGAATCCCCAGAGGGGATGGCAGAGTCAAAGGAGATGAACAGTTTTGTAGCGCTTATATATTTTGTCTTCCAAAAGGTTGAGACCGATTTATACTGCCACCAGCAATTTATAAGTGTTACGTTATGCCCATCGAGAGTAGCTTGTACCATTTAACTTAGTTTGCCTAGTTTAACTGGTAGGAAGTACCATCGAGGTACACATGCCTTGAATCCAAGAATGAGAGAGGACAAATCTGGATGTGGGGTAGGGAGGGGCTTAGAGGTCATCAAGTCCAAGCTCCTCCCGCCCCAGAAAAATACACAGAGCTATTCCATGGTGGCGTCCTTATAATACGATCCCAACTTTCCTGAAGAGAACGTTGCCCTCATGATTTTTGGCCTACTTGAATTTATAAATTTTTAGGGATGTAAATAGAACACTCAAATGTCTTAAAATATTTAATTTATTAATTTAGTTATACATACATACTGTAAATCACATATTATATAAAATAATATATTAATTTAGAAAATGCCCCATTTTTGCCATCCTCCCTTTCACGAAATCATTTTACTCTGACTCCTCACGGTCTTCACCGACATGGGAGCCCTGTTTGAGTCATCAGACAGTTTCAAGATACACCCAGTCACTTCCATCCGAACTCTGCACGGTAGCTCAGTGACAATCCCTTCATGAGGCTCTCATTAGAAATTTTCTCCCAAGCCACAAGACCATATTTGCAGAACATAAGGACTATTTCTCTTGTCATTTTTTAATCTGTCCTGTGACTCTACAATATAACCACTTAAGGTGGTACTTTTTCAAACAACCTTTAAACGTCTTTTCTTTTAAAGCACCCAAAATGTCGTTGTGAGGCCAAACGCCTAGTAACAGTTACTGAATCTGGGTTAAATGTCTGTATCTTTTTTTCTTAAACCATTTCAATTTGGTGTCCCCTATACATGTCCAAAACTAGCATCGATTGGGGTTGTTTTGAACTAATGGGTCTTGTCCTCAAGCAGCACTATTTTGTTCAAAACAAAATAGTTGAGAGCATGCCCCTAAGAAGAGATACATCTCAAGGACTCCAGTGCAGGGTGACGCCTCCTTTTGGAAACAAGAGCCTCTCCTGGTATCAGGCCTAGATGGTACTTCTCCAACCTTCCGTTTCTAGCTCTGTAAAACGGGGGTGATCACAGCACCTACCTCCGAAGGTTATCACGAGGACTGCCATCGTGCCTGCAGAGTGCCAGGACCACCAGCCTGGCACGGAGGTACACACTCAGTGAAGGCCATCTGCTGTCATTGTCATTGTCATAGTTATTGCCATTATTCTGTGGCTTGTCAGTACCAGAACTGGGGATAGACCCCAGGCCTCCTGACCACCAGTCTCATCTTCTTTCTCTTATGCAATGACTTAAATGCTGTTTCTGTTGCATGCAAATTGTTTGTTCATCTCCTTTGACTAGTTATCAAGTTACCTTCCGATATATTGACTTTACGTGGCAGTTCTTTCTATATTGATGGTGATGTTCTCTTTTCCAGTTTTATTGCTTTGCTCTTTGTGGCAGTTTTATTACATTTTTGTTGTGAAAGCTTTTAATTTTTACATATCCAAGCATTCATTTTTTGTCCACTCTGTCATAACTTTCATTGCTTCTGTAGCTAGATATGATGACATTTTCTCCAGAATTTTAATTACAAACAAAAAGCTGCAACCCCTGCCCATCGGAAGGTGAGTACACCAGGTGGGCAGGCTGGATGGAAATGGGCCAGAGAAGCAGGCTCTTTCCTCATCCGAGATGCAGACTCCGTGTCTATCTGTGGGCACCACTTGACTATCCAACCTGGCCACTGCAGCACACTGGAGATGCTCCCATCATAGGTTAGCCAGAACTCTGTGACTGTTCATCAATATAGACCCCGCCAGCAGCAGCAGGGCTTGGCCTCACCTAGATCAATGGGGTGGTCCAAACTTGATCTGGGAGCAAGCAGCCCAGCCATCCTTTGAGCTCCTGGGAGCTTTGGCAGTGCTCGGAGTGGATTCAGTGACTGAACAGCAGATTCACCCACGAGACATCTCCTTGGACACAAGAAGACTCGCCTGGACCACATCCTCCTTTCAGCCAGTGACTCTAGAACTAGAAAGAGATTGGTTCATAGGCTTCTGCTTTGGGCAGCTAGGGGAAAATTCACCCATGTGTTCTGGCATCACTTCCTGCAGCCACACCTAAGCGAGGGCAACAGAGCAGAGGCTTGGAGAGGAACCCTGCCCCTCCGATGGCTTGCGTGTTATGTGGATGGAAGCTGGCAGCACTGCCCTGGGCTATGACTTGCAACAGTCATGACCAGGAGGAGCACTAAAGCAAAGGTTTGGAGGGCAGTGGAACCCTTCTGACAGTCTGTGTGGCATACAGGTAGAAGCTGGTCCTCCTGGGTCCGAGCTGCCATTTCTAGCGGGCTCCACCAAGAGGAACAGCAGCAAGGTCTGGCGAGGAACCTGCCCCTCCAGTGGTCCACAGAAGCCACAGATAGAAGCCAGCCCCACCAGGGCTGTGGTGTGACTTCCCAGCAGCTGTGGCTGGGGACAGGGACACTAGGAGGGCCTGGCAAGAAAGTGTGCCCTTGTGGGCCCACCAAGGCTGAGGCAGAGCTTCCTAGCAGACACAACTTGGAAGGGCTTCTCAGGCTCCCATCCTGGGAAGCAAGGTCCTACAATGACCCCTGTGAGCTTGGCCAGAAGGTCCTCTCAAATGGACCCAGGCCACCACAGTGGCATTATGCGACATCTCCACCCTGACCCCTAGGCTGGAGAGGAGCCAAAAACACTTGTTACATAGTGATTCCTTTTGCCCTGTGGGCCTCAGTTCTTGGAGTAGTTGTGAATCTGTGTCTGAAATCACTACTTTCTTCTCGGATCCGTTTTCTCTTTTCGAGTTGTTAGGATGTGTTTTGTACAGCTGTCATTTGATAAAGAAGGTTGACCTCGACCAGGGCAAGTCTGGCACCTTTACCTAGAAGTACTCTGCCATGTCTTGCCCGTTCGTTCATCGTTTGTTGCGTTTCATGAGGGATCCCACTGAAGTAGATCCCTTTTATGAAGGGATCCCATTGAATGCAGCATTAACTCAGAACGTAGCATAAAGTTATCACTGCTCCCAACTGGGACGTGGCGTCTTGGCATCCCTTCCTGTCCTCCTTGACTCTTTCCCATCTTCGGTTCAATAATTTTCTCTCAAACAAATGCTCTTTTAGAGTTAACACTAAAGATCTGGTCTTTGCTGTCAAGGTTGATGGAACAGCTGTTCGTAGTGTTTGCGGTAAAACCCGTGTTCTCTTTCAACGCAGTCTGTGGCTTTAACGTGTGTCATTTAATTTCGCCGAGTTCATTTCTCGCCTCTGGTAACTTGGGGTGGATTTCCTTGGGCTCTCTAGGTTTACTACTATGTCAGATGCAAAATATCACCCAGCTTCCTGTCACATATCCTTGTCTGTGCATTCATGCATCTACCTCGTTCCAGTTTTCTTTCTACTCTCATGTATTCCTATTGCGAGGGAATGTGTTCTTTTCCTGATCCTTTTGTAGTTCATACACGTGACAATTGGGTTTTCATGCACATGTGTGAGATGTGCCTCCTTCAAACCTTGTTACTATGTTGGCACATTACCCGCCTGACATGGAAAAAGAAAAAAAAAAAAAGAAATATGTTCTTTTCCTACCATTTGAAAAAAGAAATCCTCCATTACTTTTATTAGAGTTTTGAATACTTGTGAAAATTTTCAAAAGAAACTAATTGTTTACCATTTCTGCTGCTTATTACAATGAGCTGTGTCCATTAGCTGTGTCACCCCACTCTTGCATTTCCAGAATAGTCCCCACCCGATTGCAGCAGGCATCTTTCTCCAGTGGTGTTGCATTCCATGTGCTTGATTTTGTGCTAGAACTGGCACAGCGCCTGCCCTACCTGCAGCCCTGGGTTGTGGCCCTGTTGCATACCATGTGATTTGCCACCCCCCTTCTAGGCCACATTAATTCAGCCAGAACTGAACACCTGACCCAAGGGCAGCAGGCAATCTTCAGAGCATAGAGCTGGCAGAACACGACGGACCATGGACACCACCAGGCCTTCCAGATCGGCAATGCAAACAAGGAAACAGAACCTTCTAGGCATCAGAAGGTGTGGGGGGCAGCACAGTACTCAGAGGAGTGAGGAGTGTGGCACCTGCTGGGAGGAAGGCCTGGCCATGGTATGTTCTTGGATTTCTGGCAGCAGCCCTCATTGGTCCACGTGTGTCCCCACTACAGACTCCTTGACTTGAGTCAGCTTGAGTGGGTCTCTGCTGTTTTCTATTGCATTTTGCCACTTGACTGCTTTCCGGCCAAGTCGCACCTGACTGCGTGAACACCTGTTTAAATGTGTGTTCTCTGTTCTCTAAGATGGGTGAAAGTTGATGCCTTCTAGTCTCAGTGAATTTAACCTGTGATTTTATGTCTAGGTTTTGTTCCTTTACTGAACCCACCACGTGCAGGCCATAAAATGAGTGAAGTCACAGCTCACCCTGTTCTCTTATTTTTGAAGTGTTTCACGATTTCCAGCATGTCCATCAGATGGGGGGATTGCTAACTTCTCTTACTAATGTGCTTGCATTCTGTGGTTCTCATTGCATCACTTTGGGTGTTTACTTTGCAAAGCAGAAACTGTCTCTTTAAACTTGGCCCTCAGTGTCATTTGCGTATCTCTGTATTTTTCTGTTGGGTTGGCACTCTTTTCTCATTCCCCCCATCTCATTACCTTGTCTGTTTTCTGGCACTCACTATAATCAGCCTTGCACTAGAGCTGTTTGTGGACTTGGCTTCACCCCCTCCTCCTCAGCCCTCCCCCACCCGTTTAATTGTGAGCTCTTAGAAGACAGGGGTGGCCTTTCGTGTCTGATCCCCTACCAAATCTAGCACAGTGCCTTGCATCAAGTAGATTTCAATAAATATATGTTAAATGGCATTGGTCTTCCTTGACGTCTTTTGTCACAGCTTCGTTTGCCACTTCCCTTGCTCCTTTCTCCATGCCATAGGGTTCTATACTTGTCCTTGCACTTGGAAACTGCCCCCTCCTAGGGTCCAGGTGCTGTTGTGGCCCCTGCTGGGAATGGTTATTCCAGTGCTTGCCGGGCACTTGGAGGGAAGAGGAAGCACCCTGATGGGGAAGCTGGTTT